CCCAGAATAAGTCAACCCTAGCTTGTTCCCATATTTCGTTCTCTTCCATTGCTCGTCGCCTTTCTCTGTCGAGCTTTATAATGGGGTTTGTATACCATGGGTCATTCTTGTCCGCCTTTTCAGGGATAAAGTTATCCGCTTCTTGCTGCCAATGGTGGAGCCACTTTCCTCTGGAGATGATGTAGTTCTTTGTTACTGACAACCATTCTCGATAACATTGCCAAAGGTAAGTTGCTTTTGACAGTTCCGGCATGGGGAGTGTTCTCATAATCGATTTGACCTCTTTTTCTTCTTGTCTTTTATGACGCGCAATTGCTGCATTGCATTTCGGCCATTCCGAAAGGTCATCTTGTGTCATTTCTTGCATGCATTTTGCACATCTTTCTTGAGGTCGCGCTATCGAAAGGTCATCGCTGTCGTGCCAATCGTGATGGCAAGAGGTTGCTTTCTCTTCCGCAGTCCATTCTCTTGGTTTGCGGGAAATGACGCGATTGTTCCCTTCCGGCATCCGTTGTCTCGGTTCGGGACGGACGATAACTCACTTATCCGTTTCTCCGGAATCGGTATCTGTCCATTCGTCGTCCTTTTCGATTTCGATTACACTGTCTCCGGAGGATACTTCGATGACTTCGACGTCTTTATCAGCAGGGCGTGGTTCGAAAGTATGACGACGCTTACTCTCTGCTGCCTCTTTGCGCGGGCGCGTGTCTCGACCTTTCTCTCGCCCTCTTGCTTTGTTGCGTGTTTCATCGACAGTGCGTGGTTCGAAAATATGTTGAGAACCATGCTCTATTTTCTTTGCATCCAGTTGTTTCCTGGCTTGATCTCGTATTTCCGAGAATAGTGCTCTTTCGTCGCTGTTCATCAGTCCTGGCTCTGTCCTGGGCCCAACCATTCTCGTGCCCATTGCCTCTGGTACTGGGAGTAGCCTTGACCACTCCATTCCTGGCACTAGCGACTGTTTCTTTGCAATCAGTGCTTCTGCTTGCATAATCTTGATTTGTTCCATTGTTGGTGACATTTGTGTCCCTTTCGACTTCGGTGACCTTTGGCTTCTTTCCGCCTTTTCTAATCCCTGTGCCTCTGGTACTGGGATTAGCTTTTCACCGCTCTCGTTTTGCTTGTCATCTTTCGATCCCTGTGCCTCTGGTACTGGGATAGCCGTTTGCCCCGAATCATTTCTTTGTTGAAGTTCGGTGACCTTTCCTGCATTGACTTTTGCAGAGGATTTCGGCTCGTCATCTTCGGCTTCAGGTTCTCGTTCTTCCTCGTCATCCCCGTCTATCAGGATGAATTTCTTTGCGAGGAAAAGTCGAATCCCAGTAGGACTTGGACATCGTCTGACGCTGGTCTGACGTAGAACGAGTGTTGACTCGTTTTCCTTCTTAAGGTCACTGGTGCTACGCAGTAGTGCGTTACTTCGAAGCCTGACGTTCCGCTGATCCCTTTGATCATCACCTTCTTTTTCGGTGGTAGTCTTACAGTCTGGAGGCCATTCCTTTCACAGAACTGTTGACAAATCAAAGACGTCTCTGCGCCAGTGTCAAGCATTGCCATGACCTTTTTATTTCCAATTTTGACTTCATGTGTATAAGCTTCGATCCGTTTCGGTAAGTTTCCATCTTCGAGTTTCAAGACTCTTATTCGACACTTGACTGGGATTGGTGCAGCATGCTTGCTCTCTATCAGACCTTTTGAGCTCCAACGATCTATCCGTTTCGGTACGTCGGGTCGCACGTCTGAGAACTTTTCTATCCGCTTTGATTTCGGTAAGGCGTTCGTCTGCTCTTTCGCGACGATTTCTTTGTCCGTGACCTTTGCCACTTCGCACATTAAACCCTTCTCTTGTGCGTTCTCGTGACCTTTTATCACTTGCGCAATAACTTTGTATTGTGACCTTTCATTGCGCACATCTTTGGACGGTTTTTCTTGCAACTTTGCCATTATCTCTTGCGTAATTTCATCCGCAAAGGTCATCTCGTCATCTTCACTCTTTTTCTCTGGTGACCTTTCGTACACCACAAGTCCTGTGACCTTTCCGGTCTTGACATGAAAAATCCACCATTTAGTGACCTTTGTAAAGGTACTTTCTCACCATACTGAGGCGGTAATTCACCCTTCTCAATCCGCTCTCGAAACTGACGGTTATTTTCGTCGCATTGGACTTTCTCTTTCCAGTAGTCTTGTACTTTCGGTTGTGAAGCTTTAACCATTTCCTCGAGATGTTTTCTCATCCGCCAATCTTGTTTCTCTCTTTCTTCACAGTAAGCTTCTCTGGAAATTCTCACGTCTTGCGGTGACCTTTGCGGCGGAGGAACTGGTTTCCACATACCATGCCGTCCATTCGGTCTGTAAGCGACTTTTTGCCACTCCATCTTCTGTTGTAGAGTGTTAGCTTCATCGAGAGAGTCATCTGAGACTTGCTGTGCCCCTTCGCTCTGTTTCACTGTTTGCTGCGCCATTCGCAGAGTCAAGTTACTTTCTTGACCTTTCGGTTCATCGGCAACTTCACCGTGACCTTTCTATTTCAGTGACTCTTGAGTCTGCTGCACTGGCAATCTCTCGTGACCTTTCACTTCTTCAACTCTCGCTTGAGGTGACCTTTCGGTCTCTTGCGCTCCTTGCGCAGTCACGGCCCTTCCGTGATCTTTCTCGGCAGCTCTTGCTTGAAATACTTTTGCCATCTGCTCAAGGAATTTCGGTCTATCTGGACCGCCTTCGTGCGTTCGTTGCACTGTTACGGTCATTCCGTCAACTTTAAACGTATTTTCGACGAACTTTCGGAATCTCGCGTGATGTGTTTCATCATCCTCTTCGCTTGAGATTTCCGCTTGCGTCTTTCGCAGAGTAGCTTCACTCTTCCTCGCGGTTGCTTTCCGCGGTGACCTTTGGGTCTGCTGTCCTTGCAGCGTCACGTTACTTTCGTGACCTTTGCTCGCAGTTACTTTCTGCGGTGACCTTTGGGTCTGCTGTCTTTGCAGCGCCACGTTACTTTCGTGACTTTCTTGATTTGCAGTTACTTTCTGCTGTCCCGGATGCAGAGTTGAGGCCCTTCCGTCAACCCTGTTCCCCGCAGTTACTTTCTGCGGTGACCTTTCGGTCGGCCCCGGTTGAGTCAAGTTACTTTCTTGACTTCCCGCAGTTACTTTCTGCGGTGACCTTTTGGTCAATTTCTTCCGTCCTTGCGGCAATCTTTTAACACCCTTCTCTTGACCTTTGCGAGCCCCTTCGCTCGATTTCGAGTTACTTTCTCGAATCCTCGGATTTCTTTTCCGTGTCTTTGCGTTACTTTCGCAGCATCCCTTTCTCGCTGCGGTCCTTGCCTGCAGCGGAGCACCTTGCTCCTCTATATCCGGTGGTTTCGGTTCCGGACGATCAGTAGGCTCACCGGCGCCTACTGACCTTGAACGTTTCCCTGGGCCATTCCCTGAACCGGCGCACCTTGCGCCTGACCGGCACCATTCGCCGGGGCGAAGTTAAAGCCTCCGCCTTGCTGACCGAAACCGTTCTGGTTCCCACCGACGAAGCCGCCTTGCTGCCCGCCGAAGTCGCCCTGGCCACCTTGACCGGCGAAATTGCCCTGGCCACCTTGACCGGCAAAATTCTGGCCACCTTGACCACCGTTATTCCACTGGCCTCCTTGACCAGCACCGTTCCATTGGCCACCTTGACCACCGCCGTTCCATTGGCCACCGCCGTAATTTCCGCGATTGCCGCCACGGCCTCTTCCTCTTCCTCGGAAGCCTCCTCTAACCGGGCCATATCCACCGTTTCCTCCGCCTTGGCCACCTTGACCGGCGAAGTTGCCTTGGCCTCCGGCGAAGTTTCCTTGGCCACCTTGACCGCCGCCGAAGTTTCCTTGGCCACCGAAGTTACCCTGGCCGCCTTGACCTCCGTTGTTCCACTGGCCTCCTTGATTATTGTAGTTAGCCTGGCCACCTTGACCGGCATACCGTCCACCTTGGCGTGATTGTGGCACATAACCATTTGCCATTGCGTTGCGCCATCCACCATGATTGTTGCGCAGCATCAACCATTCTTCATACACGACCCTGTTGGAGTTCTGATTCCACGGTGTTCCCGCAAACGGACACCCCTGCGTGTGGTGGTTGCCGTACATGCAATTCTGGCATGTCAGCGCGTTATTGGCCACCCATCCGTCAATCATGGTGAATAGGCGCTCTACTCGCGACCCGTATCTTGGTCCTTGATTCCCTTGGCCGCGGTTCGGCCTGAAGTTTCCTTGGCCTCCTCCGCCACCATTGAATCCTTGGCCGGCAAAGCCCGGATTCCCTTGAGCCATTCCCTGACCGCCAAGCCCTCCATTCAGGGCATTCCCCTGGACGTTCCTTTGGGAATTCTGCGCTGGCCTAGCCGCTTGTTGAGCTGTCGCTTGAAGGGCCGCAATCGCAGGCTTGGTCGCTTCTTGGACCGCTGTCTGTATCGCCGCGATCGTCGCGTACGATATCTGACCTTCATTTCGCTCGTTGCCAAAGGTCACCTCTTGAGTGCCTAAAGGCGGAAATTCCGTGTTATATCTTGGTACCTGCGCCGAGCACGACTGGTTCTGTCGCCCATTCGCGACTTCTTCGATCTGGCCTGACCGAATTATGACACAGTCATCTTGAGTTCGGTTGCCTCTCGTGACCTTGTACTTTTCTTCGCCAGTCGACCATGTACGGAAGAATTCCTTGATATCCATGGGGTTATGGAATTTCTGCGCACGAAGTGCCTTATAAAGGTCACTGTCATTCTTACATCCTTGAATCAGGAATCCGATAGCCTGCTTCTCAGTTATGATCCGTTTCGACTTGAAGCGCATGATCGCCTGATAGAACTGGTCAAGCGTTTCTTTGCCAGCCTCGAACTTTCTCGTCATCGCTTCTCTTAAGGCGTTGACCCCTTCGTCACGATCGCCAAAATGTTCTTTAAACTTTGTCATCCATTCATCGACGGTTAACTCTTCCGCCTCTTCTTCGTCATCGATTTCTCTTTCCGCGTCAAACCATGCCTTCGCGTCCCTTTGACTGCGTTGGCGACTTCAGCATCATTGCTGCATCCGAAAGGTCATACGTCTCCTGAGTCTCCTTGACCTGACGGATCCAACCAAGTAAAGCTTCTCGGTTGCCGTTGTAGTCGATCAACGCGGATTTCCGGGCCATGGCTCTCATGTAACCTCTGAATTCCCGTTCTTCGCGACGGAGTCGCTGTGCTTCAGCGTGGTATTCCGCGCGGTATTCTCTTTCTCGCCTCTCCTCTTCACGAGCTACCCTTTCCTGCTCATTTTGGCGAACTCGTGGATCTTCATGATTGTCTGGCTGATGGTCAGATTTGTAGACGATTGTTTCCTCGGTCCTGTTTCTTGTTGCCGAGGATTGACCCCACCGATCGGTCCTGAGTGCCCTTCGCCAACTCAGTATCGTCGGTGACCTTTTCAGCTTTGACCTTGTCTTCATCATGGCCGTCGCTTCGGCCAGTCCCCGTCTTTAAGGGAGCTTGGAAATGGAAGCTACCTTCGACGGTGTGGACTTCGCCATATCCGGGGGTGGAGATTCGATCCGTTCCGGCTGTTTTGCCTCTCCTTCCTTTTGTTTTGCCGACCAGTTTTAAAGTTTTAATTTCTTCCTCTCTTTGTTTGACTGTCTGCTGCAGCTGCTTTACGGTTTCGTTTGCGTCTTTCCTGAGCTTCTCATAATCGTTGTTTGCTTCGGTGACCTTTCTCATTTGCTCGAGGATTGTACTTGCTCGGTTATCGAGAGTCTTATCGAGATCCATTTTTGCTGCTTTTAGGATCTCAGCTTCTGCTTCCAACCGTGTGATACGATCCGCTCTGTCTGCGAGGGTCCTTCCTCTCGCTTGGCACTCTTCCTCAACTGCTTTCAGTTGGGCTTTTAGTTCCGTAATTTTATCATCCTTTTCCATTACGGAAGTAGCCAATCCGACTGATTCATCGCTCAATTTGGCGATCTCTTCTTTTTGTTTTTCATTTTCTGTCTTTCCTTCTTTATTCACGACCTCTAGCACAGTGACCCGTTCGTCACACCGTTGTGCTTCCTTCAACCACTTTTTTGCTTCTTTCTTTTGGTTGTCGATTTCGTCATTGAGTCGCTTGAATTCAGTTTTTGTTATTTCAGCCAGTTCAAGCAGTTCCTTTGCTGCTTGATCTCTCTGGCTTTCCGCTTCGTTGTGTTTCCTTTTCATCTCTTTTAATTCTGTTTGTAACGTGTTGACAAGGTCTTCGCGTAATTTAAGGTCATCCTTCAGTTTCGAGATGTCAGCCGTCAAGCTGGTGACCTTTCCGGTGAACTTCGTCGCATTTGCTAGAGATTCGTCACGTTTTTTCTCGGCCTCCTTGACCTTTGACTGTAAAAGGTCACGCTCATTTTTCAATTCTGCTATTTCCTGTGACCTTTCAGCTGCTTCCTCGGACAGACCGTCTTCTTCTGCGGTGAGTATGCCTTCCGCGTCTCGATCTTCGACCATTTTCCTTAGATCTTCCGCCGCTTGTTTCTGAACTTCAAATCTAACTTTCCATTGTTGCGCTTCGTCTTCGAGCGTGACCTTTTCTTGCTCCATCACAAAGAGCCTTGCTTCGACTTCGATAGTTTTATTCCGTTGTTCTCGAATGGCAGCGAATGCTTGGCTCTCCTTCTCGTCAAGTAGCTGCTCGAGTTCCTTGACACGCTGCTTTAATCCATTCATTACGGATGTTTTTGGTGATGGTGACCTTTGGTCCCGGTCGTCGGCTCTTCCTGACGCCATTCCTTCAAAGGTCTCTTCTGGCTTGTCCTGGAGGGTCGTATCAAACATCCCTTTCGTTAAGTTTGCCTCCTTCATTGCCGTATGGAAAGACGTCTGTACCGTCGTTTCGTCTTCATCGTCAGTGTAAAACTTGTCACTTGACGTGGGGCTAGTACCGTTCTCTTCCAGCTGTTCTTGTAAGAACAGTGAGTTTTCCGAAAGGTCATCCTGTTTGACCTTTCCCTCGTCGATCAGCTCGTTGCTGCTGACGGCGCCACCACCTTCGGTGACCTTTTGACTGACTTCGTCACTTCTCTTCTCAACTTGATCCGCGTTTTCCTCCTTGACCTTTTCGGCCGACCGTGCCATTCCTCCGGTCTCGGCCTTCAGGTCATCTTTGTTCTGTCCGTCTGAAACCATTCTCTCGTCGGTGACCTTTGACTGGTCTACCGTGTTATCTCCGGCATGTCGCCCAGAGTTCTCTCCATTTCCGTCGCTCGAGCTCTCATTCTGAGTTTCCCTCAGAGCCGTTTGGTATGTGGCTTCTGAGCCTCTGGTGTCCTTCCTCCCAAAGCTCTTCTGAGCTCGAGTTGCTCTTTCGTGTTCCACTGGTCGTGTGAACGGCTTTAGTTTCCGTTCGTAAGGGTTTTCTGACCCCCGAGGCCGTTCTCTCTGACTACCCGTTGAGACCGGTTCATTACCGTCTGTATCTTGATCCATATCTTTGGCTACCGTTGATGATCGGATAACTTGGACGATGCTATTAATGTTTCTGACACGTGTGTTAGTTTAAGCTACGTAAGCCCCTTTACACGTAAACAGAAACAACGCTGTCCTAAAGGTCACCTTCCTTTGTATCAGCTCAACTTTATTAAAGGTCACTCTGCCCCCAAAAGAGCTAAGTCTTTTCTAAAGGTCACTTTTTCGTAGTCCCTTTTAAAGGTCACTCCCCTTAAAAAGATGAAACTTATTTTCCCTGTTTCAGCCTAATAGCTTACTCCGTCACGTTAAAGGTCACTTTCTCTTACTCCTTCCGTTTTAAAGGTCACGATCGATTTCGGTCAAAAACGTTTAACCTGAGAAAATTTTTGGATTTTACTGAGAAATCAACTCAGATTTCCTCAAAATAAACGTTATTTATTCAGCTTTCAACTTTTATTAGAGGTCATCCTTCTCGTCAAATTTTCTGGTAAAGGTCAACTTCTCGTCAGTCAGTTCAGAAAATTTTCTTAGCTGGCTACGTCACGATCTTGAGTGCCGTGCGCAAAAACTCCGCCTCCTGACAAAATCTCAACTTCTAATTGGCCAATATCCTAGCTAACTTTAGCTACGCTACTGCGCCAATCACAGTGCGAATAACTGGCCAATCAGAAACGTTGTTTTTCAAATTAGAGGGCAGAGTGACGTCACGACCAAAATCGAAAATTTTCACTAGTGCGCCGTGCGCAAAAGTACCGCCTACTTTTCTGCTCAGCTCAGAACCGACGAATGAAAATTGAGGATTTTACCTATCAGCCAATCTAAAAATTAATAACGGATTTCTGACCTTTTCGATTCCAGAATCCGGATAGGAATCCTCCGCGCGTTTCCACGTCCTCCAGCGATCCTCCAGCGATTAAGCTGACTTCTCCTGGGCCAGCCGCTAACCCCTTCTGCTTCGCTTCAGCAGGACGCAGCGGTGCGTCGACCAAAAGACTTGCTGGCTGCGGGTCTTCTGTCGCGCCTTGACGTTAGCGACGACAGGGGCGCTCGACCTCCTTTTTGGGGGAGCGCGTATAATGTGTGTGCGCTCTACTCAGTAGAGACGCACCTGAAAACTCCACACCCGACAGCCAAAAGTGGCTTGCCCACTCGTGCCCCCCTTCGGGCTTCTGCCTCTTGCGGCGATCTTTTTCGGCGCTTGTGCCCCTCCGATCAGAGCTACTTCAGTAGCCTTGATCGCGTCAGGTCAGTACAGCGTGCTCTACTCAGTAGAGACACACTGGTGCTGATCTGCTGTCGAGATCCAAACGCTCCTTCGCCACTGGACCGTACGCGAGCCCTTTCTCGCGAGACTTCTTCCACACCTCGTCGGATGGACGGGAAAAACTCACAGATTATCCTGGAGAACCACGATCTGCTACCATGAAAGCGTGGACCCAATGAAGGTTCACGCGTAGGAACAGAATTGACGGAATTCTGCCTACCAAAAAGCCTAGCAATGCTATAAATGCGCCTACACTACGGAAAGCGAGAAACGGCGTGACTGCTAGGAATTTATGAACAGACTAAATTCGTAAGAATTTCCTCGTGGACAACTCCGCATTGCTGACTGCAGCAAGCGTGGAAAATGCGCAAGTAGCCGCCACACAGTGCGGGTGCGCGCAGAACACCATGCTTCCGCCACGCGTAAGGCGGGCGTGCAGCAAAACACAACAGACTGCCAAAGCGAGGGTGTACGCATGTACGCCTGCGCTCACACCCGGAATTCCGGAGGAATCCTGTTCTTCATTCCGTCCGTCACCAATTGCCCGTGTGACGCGTAATGTGACAATCGCGCAGCAAAGATCTTCTGACCCCACGTTCGGGAATCATGATCAGTAGGATCGACTACAAGGCCGATCGCGGCTCGAGATGCCAACACCGTGAATGCCGGATTGACTTGTCGCAATACGAACTGTGCTATATGTCCCCTTCGTTCCTTCAGTTCAATATAGCGAAACTGAGTCCATCCCGTTGTATCGGCTGTGTCCAACGGGGTATTCAGCAAGTTGATGTCTATTAGACTCGGTAGGCCGTTTTGTCGTATTGGCATATAATGCGCAGTCGCATATTCTTGGGTGATCTTCAGTCCTCCCAAGTAACCTTCTTTAACTTCGCGGTCCAGTTGTGTATCAATCAGAAAAGTTCGAAGGTTACCCAACTGCGTCAATATCGTCGCTGCTGCTGGCGTTTCAATACCGATGCCCATATATCGACAAATTTCCGCTTGTTGCGCTTCAAGATCGTCCATGTTAAAGCTCATGTCGATCAATTCTCGTTGCATCGGAGATTCGGAGGATTATCAAACCTGGAAGTCTTTTTCTCTTCACGACGGACGTCCGGTTCTCGTCGTCTCTCAGGTTCTCGTGGGCCTTCCTGTTCATACCGGTTATCTTGCTCACGTCGCGGCGGTTCCTTACTCACCGATATCGACGGTTGCAGATCAGAGTCCAAAAGCACATTTCGCCTATGGGCAACATTGTCCGTTGACGATATTTCCATCGGCTCGTCGTCGTTAAAGGTCACCACCAATGGTTCCACCATGCGAACCACTGACTGAACTTTATGGTGTTTCGGCGGAGTGTCTTCGCGTTCTCCACTCCGATGACCTTTTACTATTCGGTTCAAATCCGGCGAAGTACTCCATGCCGGCTTGCCATCTTTTATCATGTGGGCTTATGCTCCGATTTGATGTACTGGCCCGTTGTTGTTCCGGTGTAAATCCCCTAACTTTGGGGTGACAAAAGGCGACTCCAAGAGGCGGTTGTCGACGTGGCGGTTCATCTTGGCGTCTGTCCGGTTCATGACGTCGGTGTGGCGTAGTTTCAACCACTTGATCACCATGTCGTTCCCATGATCTTCCGCCACGGTAGTCGCGATCGGGCGATCGATCCCGCGACCTATCGTCTCGTTCGTTCCGATAGTCGCGTGTTTGTTCCCGTGAATACTCTCGTGACCTTTGGTTACGCGAGTCGTAATTCCGTTCTCGTGAATATTCACGCGACCTTTCTTGTTCCTTGCGCGTCGACCGAGGCCTTGTGAAATTTTCTTCTCGGGTAAAATTCTGAAAGGCTCTCATCACATCTCGTTCAACTTGATGTGCTTTCCGGGCCGCTTCCGTCATCTTTTCGACCAATACTTTGGTGGTCGGAGTTGGAGCGCGTCCTTGTTCCAGACGCATCTTTTCTCTTAAGAGGACTTGAAACAATTCGGGTTGGATCTTTGACGGTTCTTTTACCAGTTCGTCAATCTGAAGGAGAAGTGCCTTCACTCTCGCTTCCGATTCGTTCACATTAAACTGGGCCACAGGGATGGGAGACTTTCCTCGTCTGGCCGTGTTTTCCCGGTGCTCCTGTGCTGCCCGTTGTTCAGCGTTTTTCCGTTGAGCGATCAATTCCTCTTCTCGCTCTTGTCTCTTCTGGTCCTCCAACATCTTTTGCGAAGTGGCCTCGAATTCTGCCCGATATGCATCAGCCAGGTCATCCTGCATCGGCTCCATTGTCGCATCCCAACCGAGTTCGCCACTTCGGATCGCCTGTCGGTATCGATCCTCGATTAACATCTTTTCCTTCGGTGGGACGTTCTTCCAATTTTGGGCACTGGTGACGTAACGATAGACGTCCTCGTTCCCACGGGCGGCCTCGGTATATACCACAAGGGTCTGATTTGAGTACGCAGTTCCAGCATGGAGAACTTGCGTTACCCACTCTGCTGTTTCGAACACAGTCCGGACATTCAGAATTGAAGCCCGTAAACCGGTTAACATGTGGCGGCAGTGGTGCCGTTGTTGATGCAGGTGCCGGTGCCGGAGTTTTCAGAAGCGCGGGTCTCGCTGGTGCAGGTGCCACTTGACCTCTTTGGGGCGCGGGTGCTGCTCGGCTTGTTGAAGGTGCTGGCGCTGTCTGGTTCTTTGCTGGTGCAGCTTGACTTCTCACTGCAAGTGGCGCCGCTTGACTCTGAGGTTTGGCTTGACCTTTTTGAGCCATTCTCAACTTTCAATCTGCAATCAAAGTCTGTCAGCATTACATTTTATACCCGTTTTCTCCATTCCTTCTTATACGCCTAATTAGGCTATTCCGGTACTGAGCTGCGACCTTCCTAGCTCATGTTGCTACCGTAACGTGGTGACCTTTCCACGTTATTTTTAGCACCTTCGCTAAATTTACATTTTCCGTCCCATGTTATCGTTTTGACAGTTTTTCCCCTTCGTTAATTTCATCTGTTTTATGCCATTTTTCGTAGTAATGTGGTGGACCTTCCTGACCACATACTACGAGTGTGTGTTCACTCTTTCACTGTTTCATCCGCAGATTCTGTTGTCGCTGTCTGCGGCGGGGCCTGTGCGTCCGTTGTCGCACTCTCAGTTACGGTTGGCTCCTTTTCGGTTGACATCGTCGCCACAGCCTCAGTTTGCTTTTCTTCAACTGCCGGCGCGATTGTCTCGGTCTGCGGTTTATCGGTCTGCGGTTTATCGGCTGACGAGTCATTTGGCGATTTATAGTAGATCCTTGGGCGTTTATTGGGATCGATATATCGCATCTCCAAAACGTTATCGTCGACAAGGCTCTCGACTGCCTTGTGGATCCACTCCGTATCAGCTTCAATATTGTATTCTCCCAACTGGTAATTAGCGGTGAAGAAATTTGAAAGGTCACTCCATGAGACCCCATTCGTGCCGC